TCAAACCACTCATATTTAATGTGATTATTTATTTGGGTTAAAGTCTGTCATTTTGTATTTTGCTTTTTGTTTTCTCTTTGAGTTCTTACTCATTTCTTTGTTCCTCCTTTCTTGCTGTCTTTGGGATTAATCAAGCATGTTTTATTATTCCATTTCTCTCTCCTCAGCTTTTTTAGTGATGCATTCTTGTTAGAATTTTTTAACTAGCTGGAATTGTATATTTTGAACTTAATAAAGTTCATCTTAGGTAAGCTCTCTGGCCCCTCCCCAAATAATGCAAAGTTCTTAACAGATTTTGGCTCCATTTACCCCACTACTACCATCCTTTGTGCTATTGCTTTTATATAATTTACTAATACAGTTGACCCTTAAACAGTGTGTAGATTAGGGACAGTGAAATCTGCGTATAACTTCACAGCAAGCCCTCCATATCCATGGTTGTACATCCATGGATTTAACCAAACCATGAATCCTGCAGAACTGTGGTACATATTTATTTTTAAAATTTGCATGCAAATTGTAAACACAGTTAAAACCTATGTTGTTTAAGGGTCAACTGTACATGTACTATAAACCCTACAAGCCATTAAAAAAAATTTTTTTTCTAAATAGTCAATATTGTCTTGTATCTATCCACATATTTACCCCTTCTAATGCTCTTCCTTCCTACAGTTGTATTTTTCCATCTGGGATTACTCTTCTTTATCCTGAAGAACTTCCTTTTTATTTCCTATAGTTTAGGTCTGTTAGTGACATTCTCTCAGCTTTGATGTTTCTGAAAATGTTATTTCACCTTTTTAAAAAATTTTAATTGCATGCAAGAGTCTTTAAATTCTGTTGTGCTTTACAGTTTTCAAAAGTTTCACACAGATGATTAGAAGAAATCATCATTTCTTGTAATCCCATAGTAACCCTCTTTTTTTCCCCTCTACATCTATACTGCCCCTCCTCAGTTCCCTCTCTCTACTGTAAGTCACTAGCTTGTTCTCTGCATCTGGGAATCTGCTTCTTTTTTGTTGTTATATTCACTAATTTGTTGTATTTTTTAGATTCCACATATAAGAGATATCTAATACAGTATTTTTCTTTCTCTGTCTGACTTATTCCACTTAGCATAATATCCTCCAAATCTATCCATGTTGCTACAAATGGCAAAAGAGAATTCATTCTTTTTTATGGCTGAATAGTATTCCTCTCTGTGTGTGTGTGTGTGTGTGACATCTTCTTTATTCATTCATCTGTTGATGGACACTTAGGTTGTTTTTATACTTTTTCACCTTCATTTTTGAAGGATCAGTTCAGTTCAGTCGCTCAGTCGTGTCTGACTCTTTGCGACCCCGTGAACCTCAGCACGCCAGGCCTCCCTGTCCATCACCAACTCCTGAAGTCCACCCAAACTCATGTCCATCAGGTCAGTGATGCCATCCATCCTCTGTCGTCCCCTTCTCCTCCTGCCCTCAATCTTTCCCAGCATCAGAGTCTTTTCAGATGAGTCAGCTCTTCACATCAGGTGGCCAAAGTATTGGAGTTTCAGCTTCAGCATCAGTCCTTCCAATGAACACCCAGGACTGATCTCCTTTAGGATGAACTGGTTGGATCTTCTTGCAGTCCAAGGGACTCTCAAGAGTCTTCTCCAACACCATGGTTCAAAAGCATCAATTTTTTGGCACTCAGCTTTCTTTATAGTCCAACTCTCAAATCCATACATGACTACTGGAAAAACCATAGCCTTGACTAGATGGACCTTTGTTGACAAAGTAATGTCTCTGGCTTTTTAATATGCTGTCTAGGTTGGTCATAACTTTCCTTCCAAGGAGTAAGCATCTTAATTTCATGGCTGCAATCACCATCTGCAGTGATTTTTCACTAGATACAGAACTCTGGGTTGGCAGTTTACATATTTTAGCCCTTTAAAACTGTCATTTAACACTATTGCTTCTTACTTTCATAGTTTCTGTTACAAAGTCAATTGCTTCTGTAAAAATAATCCTTTTTTCTTTAACTGCTTTTAAAAATGTATCTTTGTCTTTCATTTCGCTTTATTTTATGTATTTTATTTTCAGCAGTTTCACAGTGATGTGGTTTGGTATAGTTTGGAGGTTTTTTTGTATTTTTGCTGCTTGTGGATTGCTGAGCTCTTCTTTCACTAGTCTTCAAGTATAGTTTTACCTCATTCTCTGTCTTCTCTCACAGGGATTATAGTTACTCATATTTTGTATCTATTGAGTGTGTCCACATGTCCCTAATGTTCTAATCTATTTATCTGGTTTTTTTTTTCCTCTATTTTTGCTTCATTTTGCATGTTTTCTGTTGATTTTTCTTCAAATTTTTAAATTCTTCTGCTAGATCTTCTTTACCTTAAATCCATCCAATGAATTCTTAATTTTTAATATTGTGTTTTTATTCTAGTATGTTCATTTAATTTGTTATGAAGGTTGCAGTTTTCTGTGAGTATTATCTTTTCTTAACATTTTTTTCATCTTTCCCTCTACTTTTTAAAACCGTATTACTTATGGTTAGTTTAAAGTCTGTTTCATTATGTGGATCATACATGAGTTTTCTATTGTCTATATTTTTTCTTGATTATCAGTCACATTGTTCTGACTCTTTTTTATATTTCTCTCTTACACACACACACACACACACACACACACTGGATATTTTATATAAAAGAAGTGTTGAGATTCCAGCTGATATTTTCTATCAGAAAGAATTCTTTCCTCTTTCCTTTATGCTAATAGGATAAGGGCCTGATCCTCTCAGTCTAATCATGGATTGAACTGGTTCAGATACGAATTTAACTATGGTTTATATCCATATTCCGAGGCCCTGGGACCTCGACTGAGAGCCTAATGGGTCTTCATCTTCATAGTCGTGAAAAACCACAAGAAATTGTCCTGCCTGTGAGAGTTTTGGGGCTTGGTTCTTTGACCTTTCAGTCCTTACAATTTCAAAATAAGGCATTTATCTTGAAGAGGAGATCGGCTGTGTTAGAAGTAGACCTCATCCTTCTGGTGGGACCTTGTCTGCTGGAGTCACGAAATTATGGGAATTTTCACTCTGCCTTTTTAGAGGCTCTCAGCCTAGCTTTGCAGCCCCGACATGCAGGCTCAAAACTCAGCATATGTCCTATGGGAAAAATAGGCCATATTCATGGAACTCCTCATCATAGCAGCCTCATCAATTTCTCTTTCCTCCAATGGAGCTCCTTTGCACAGGCCAAGACTGACTGTTAATTCATGCCCAAATTTGGCACATGTGCTCAGGAAAGAAAACAGTGTCAGCTCCTTAAAAAACCCTCCTCATCCAGGTCTGGAATTCCAGTTCATCTAATCCTCATAATTTCTGTAACAGTGCATTGTCTTTTAAAGTAATTTGTCTGATTTTTTCTAGTTGCTGGATCAGCAGCACTACACTGTCATATCTGTTAGATACTACATGGAAGCATGAGAAATACTGTCTTCTACCTGCCCACTGTAACTACTTTATTAACTTGTCTCCTAAGTTCTACTCTTGTCCCCTCCCCTCCCAGAGTAGCCGGAGTGTTCCCTTTTAAGTCTGCCCTGTCACTCACTTGCTCAAAACTCTCCAATGGCTTCCCTTCAGACTTAAGATAAATTTAGGTTCATTTTCAGGGTCTACAAAATCCCACACAGTCTTATTGCTACTTCTCCTCTACCTAATCTCCCACCACTCTCCCCTTTGCTCACTCAATTCCAGCTATACTGATCTTCTTTCCATTTCTCAAACAGAGTAATATGTTCTCATCTCAGAATCTTTGCACTTGTTATATACCATCTACTGGATGGCTCTTCCCTCAGCTCTTCATAAGACTTTGCCTTTATTTCATTTGGGAGCTCTTTGCAAATGTCACCTTCACAAAGAGGACTTTCCTCACCTCTGTGTCTCCTTAACTTGCTTTAGTTTTAATCATGGCATTTACCTAATATTATATTACATATTTTTTTGCTAATTTCTGTCTCCCCCACTAGGCAGTAAGCTCCATAAGAGTGGAAACTATGTTTTGTTCACTGTTCTACCCAAGGACTTAAAATAATGCATAGCCTGTAGTAAGTGCTTAATAACTTTGTGGAATGAATTAGATATCGCTTACCTTGAAAAATTCTCAGTTAAGGAGATGAATGATTGGAGTAAATTGAAAGTACTCTGCAGAATGTTTTAGAGCAGGTGGAGCACCGATGGAGTTGTTAGACAAGGCCTCAGTAAAGTGGTGATTCTGGAGCTGAGTGTCAAAAACTGAGTATTGATGTATTCAGATCAGAAAGAATAGAGAACTCAACATATTTGAACAAACTGGTATTCAGAAAACAGTGGCGCTACAACATGGGGGTGGGTGATAGGAAATGACATCAGACATATCTGGGAAGCAAGGCAGGGGCCAAATCACAAAAGTCTTTGGATATCAGAATTAACAATTTGGACTTTACCTTATAGTCCAAATTTTTAAGGTAAGGAAAGATGCTATTAGATGTATATATTTGTATGTGTTTCGGTAGTCCTCACTGCAATAATCACACTAAAACTTTAAGTAAATTGATTCAGAAAATCCCTGATTTGGTTGTCAGAACCCGGTTTCCATACATAAGTCCTTATCCCAACTCACTGTGTAAGCTAGGGAAGGTATCATTTCCTCCTCTGAGCCTCAGGTCTTCATTCTTAGCAGGAGAAAACTGTAAGCTTCTAAGAGCCATTCCATCTCTGAGTCTGTGGTTGTTTATATGCTTTAACTAGATTCTTTGGGAAGAAACGCATAATATTTTTTTTCTACATTAGCCAGAAATAATTAAAACTTCCAATTCTGGCCAATCTAAATTCAATTCTCCTCTGAGATTTTCTAACTTTTAGGTCAGATACCAAGAGACTAGCTTCTTGGGATAAAACTATCCAAGCAGAAGTAGCAAGTCTTTTTTTTTTCCCTCTGGCTGGGATGGGGATGCAGGTGGGAGGAGGGAGTGTTAGAATGAGTCTTTTTCTTGCAGTTGTGATTCCAAAGAATCCCTACCCTGCATCCGATGTGAACACTGAGAAGCCCAGCATCCACAGCAGCACCAAAACTGTCTTGGAGCATCAACCAGGGCAGAGGGGGCGTAAACCAGGAAAGAAGCGGGGCCGGACACCCAAGCCCCTAATTCCCCATCCCATCTCTACCCCATCCAAGTCAGCTGAGCCTTTGAAATTCCCAAAGAAGAGGGGTCCCAAACCTGGCAGTAAGGTAGGTAAAAATGTGGGTTTTCCAGCAAGGGATAAATGGTTATAAAAGGATAACTCATCCATATCCATCCATCTTAGAAAGGAATGTGTCTGACACTATTCTCCACCTTGTGTGTTCTTTTAAGGAGAATCTCCTATATTGTCATCCCTACTTTAGCTATTTAGCTGGGAGTTGGTAATGTTAGAGATAAGATAGTATGGATAAGAAACAAATTTTTACTTTGAAAGTTACATTCATGGGAATTCTGGTCTGATATCTTCAATAGATGAAAGGCTCTGCTCCTAATTGTTACTGACCTACACAAAGTGGATGCCCAGGTATGTCAACAGAAGGAGAAAACTGACACTGTAAATGTATTTATTTTCCTGTCCCTATACCTTCTTTTTTTTTAAAAAGAAAAAAAAGGAAATTATTGAATATTTACTAAGGATCAGGCTCTGTGCTTGACACCATTACGTATCATATGATCTTCACAAAACCGTAGGAGATAAGTAGTGTTAATGTTAAATAGTCAAGTAAATTGAGACTTAGAGATGGGAAATGACTTCCCTACAGTCACACAGCTAATCAATGGCAAAGGCTACAGAGATGGATCTCCAGATCTTCTAGTTCTAAGATCACTGCTGCCCCATCACATATTCACTCTCTCACATTTCCCAAGGAAGGTAACACAACCTCTGGTGTTGGAAAAAACTGCTGGGTTGAGCTTCACTGAGCACTGTTACTGAAAGTACCACCTTTTAGTCATGACCAGGTCTCCATGTGTATCTTCCCTCAGAAAACCATTGATATGAAACTTCCTCAGCTGCTTCTCTAAGGCTTCCTTTGGCATCATCTTCTCCAGTCACTTCCCAAGTCTCAGAATTTCTCTGCAACTCCCTCCCAAACTAGACTACCTGAGTTCCAGTGTGAAAATGATGCCCAGTTCTCCTTAGGCATTCCATTCCAGTTTCCTAAGTTCTTCTCTAGGTTTGATTGGGTGGGTGGGTTTGTTTTGTTTCTTAGCTCCAGCTGGCCTCAGTCTTTCTAGAATATAAGCTCCTGAAGGTCAAGGACCTAGTCTTCTCTTTTTCTCCTTCCCATGCCCTATATCTCAATCTCTTGGGAAATGTTCAATATATGCAGGATGGATGGGTGGATGGATAGATAGATAGATGATTTTAGTGATGATTTCCAATTGAGAATATCCTTTATTTATTGGTTTTGAATTCTTGATGTCACATCCTGATCCTTCTGTGTAATGCATAATACTCCCGATCTTATTATCATTAACCCTTAACCCAGATCCTGATTCATTTTTGTCTCCATTACTCTCTTCTCATTCTCATGTTATGGAAGAGATGCTGAAGGCTCTAGAAATTCCAAGGCCAGGGAAGTCATGCTTTTGATGATGTGAGGACACCTTGACAGATTAAAAAGGGAGAAAACTTGTCCATGAGATTCCAAAGACAGAAAGAACCAATAAGCAGAAACCCAAGCAAATAGGCTTTATCTCAACATAAAAGGAACAGTTAAATCTATTTCAAAATGCAATAGTAATCTCCCATCACTAGAGGTATTTCATCAGGTATTTCATCAAGTACCCAGGTACTGATACAGATGTTTTTAAGGAGTGGGATGTAAAAGTATTAGGTATATAGTTGGATTAAGTAACCTTTAAGATCCTTCAAAGCTAAAAACTGTGATTCTGTGATTGCTTCAGCTCTGCTTTCAGGAAGTCCTAAACATAGTAACCAAAGTCCTTTTTCTTTCCAGTCCTCTTAAAAGCAATAACTTTCATCTAATACTGTATTTTATGGCCTGGCATTTGACTCCCTAATTCCCCTTCCTGTGATTTTGCCTATTCCTGTAAGTGTATAGGCCTCTACTTAACCCATGACCCTTATATTCATTTTTGAAGCAAAGTGATCTTGTGATAAGAGCATAGGCTTTGAAGCCAGAGAAACTTAGATTTATATCTCATCTCCAGTTGTTACCACAGTGTTGACTTTGAGAAAGCTTTGAGTAAGGCTAGGAGCCCCAGTTTTCTCACCAGTAGAATGGATAACATATGAATAGATGTAATACATGTAAATGCACCAATCTCAAATAATAATAATGCTTTACATCTTTCTGCTTTTTTCTCCAATATTTGGGAACCAAAACTCACCAGGTTTGTTTCTTCACGAACCCCCATGAAATCCTACCAACTCAGTAAAGTTGAACTAGTTCCTTTCTTTCCTGATTCATTGCTTATTTAGATTTTTACTTGTGGCAATATCAGAAACAGGAGGAAATGTCTATGTCCTATGTGTGCTTTGAATGTTCCATAAGAGTTTGCATGACGGCTTTGACAGGCAAAGCCATCCTGTATATATACCTGCCGTCACTGAGCCTTCTCTCTGATAACTCCCAGAAGGCAGTCAGGTTTATACAGCTCCCAAAGTGGACCCTACACGTGACATTTAGTAAAAATGAGTTCATCACTTAGTAAGAATGAATTCATCATGATCATCACTGGATCTCAGTGATGGTTATGTTTTCCTTGCTTTCAGAAAGGCTTTTTAGAAAAGTGTCTTTTGGAGGAAAAAACAACCTTCTGCAATCTTCCTCCCCCAGAGATTGCCCAGAACAGCATAGAGGAGATACTAGATTTTTCTCAAATCATTTTTATTACTGCTCACATTATTGGTATTCTATACTGTATGCTTCATTGAAAGACATTTATGACACTTATCATGTGCCAAGTATCATGTCAGATTGGTACGCAGAATCAGACCCTCAAGGAGCACCAAGCTAATAGGGGACACCAGTGTATAAATATATAACGAAAATACATTGTGACAAATGCAACCATACCAAGTACAGAAATAGCACAAAAGAGACAGTAACTAGAGGAAATCTAGAAAAACTTCCTGGATAAACAGATATTTATGAGGTAAAAAAAAAAAAGAAAGGTATTCTAGGCAAAACAGATGGTTTATTATTATAAAGGCAAGGACTAGATAAAACTGCAGGTTTTTAGGGAAGTACTATAGTTAGAGGTTACTGGAATACAAGGTTTAAGATAAGAAATGGCAGGTAATAAGCCAAAGAGGTAGGCAGAGGAAAATAGTTTGTGGAGTTAGGGGAAGGGATGTTTCCATTTTTCAACAGAGAAACAAACTGATGTCAAAGTAGACTTAGGTCGCAGCATTTTTTTTTCATTTTATGCTTTTTTTGTGTCTAACTAATAAAAAACTCAGACATCAGATAATAATACTGAATACATATAAAAGATAGTGAATTAAGCTCTGGCTATACAGAAGCACAGAATCTTATACCTAGATTGAGAAAATACTTACTAAGCATCTACTATTTTTGCAGCTTTGAACAAGATGCTATTTGGGAAAGAAAAAATATATATATATATGTATATATATATATCATATGATATCACTTATATGTGAAATCTGGGATACAAGTGAACTTATTTACAAAATAAACACACTGATATAGAAAACAAACGTACGGCTACCAAAGGACAAAGTGGGAGAAGAGGTCAGTTAGGAGGTTGGTATTACCAGATACACACTACTATATATAAAACAGATAAGCAACAAGGTCCTACTGTACAGCACAGGGAACTGTGTTCAATATATTGTTAATAACCTGTAATGGAAAATAATCTGAAAAAGAACATATATGTGTGTTTGTTTATATATCTGACTCACTTTGCCATATACCAGAAACTAATACAACATTGTAAATCAGCTATACTTCAGTTAAAAAAAAAGAACTAACACAGTCCCATCCACAAACATATTCCAGTTTAATGGGTTCATTGAGTGCTAAGAATAGAGGAATGAGAAGACAAGTTACCTATCATGGGTAGCAAACTTTTCCTCATCCATTTTGACAGAGGAAACCTCGGACTTTGCTGAACCCACCACCCACCTCACCAACAACCAGCACCCCTGAACCGGACACCAGCACTGTACCCCAAGATGCTGCCACCATACCCAGCTCAGCCATGCAGGCCCCCACAGGTAAGAACAGATCACAGCATAGCTGCAACAAGCCCCAGGCCCCAGTGTCTGTACTGTCTCTCATGCTGTACCAGTAATTAGCCCCCTGCTGGGGCACACGCACTTCGTCCCGTCCTACTCTTTCAACTCTGTGGACTGTAACCCACCAGTCTCCTCTGTCCATGGACTTTTTCAGGCAAAGATACTGGAGTGTGTTGCCATTTCCTCCTCCAGGGGATCTTCCCATCCCAGGGATTGAAGCCGCGTCTGCCTGCAGCTCTGGTGGATTTTTACCTACCAAGCCATCAGGGTAGCCCAGTTAGCCCCCATCCATCCACACATCTAAACAGAATCTTTTAAAGAAATTTAATTTGATGTTTGAAATAACTTCAGAGACATCTCCATTCTGTCAAAATAATCCAAGAAACTTGGGTAGACGTTCTGTGAACTTAGAGTTGGGGACCTAGGGCCTTGAGCTGGGAGGGACATTAGGCCAGCACCAGGAGCTCTCTGACTCCCTTTGCAATGATACCCATCCTTTCCAGCGTGGGGTGCTCCCTCCTAGTGACCCTTTCCAGAACCCTTCCAGCATTATAATTATTCTGCCACCACTCAGATACGTATAGCGCTGCTCTGATTTTTTTAGTTTTTGATTGTGGCAATTTTTGGTACTGTGAAAATGTTTTTTTATTTTGGAGACAAATCAGTGCATGTTTGATTCAAGGCAAAATCTGATAACCATAGTGAGTGGTTGTGCATATCTGTTCCCATTTCATAAACTATATGAAGGTAACTCTAAAAGAGCTACCCCTTTAGAATAGATGTACAGCTTTCCAGTGGGGTAACTATTGATAAAAAGAACAATACTCATTTTTATGTATAAATTAAGATACATGTGTGAAAACATCTTCTTAGGGAAATCTAAGGAATTGGAATGATCCTCATGGAAGTTAAGGTAGTCTTTTTTTTTTAGGAGTTGAGTTTGTCTTCACCCTAGAATGTTAGTGCTTGAAGGGAAGCCCAGTCATTTCCTCTCCAAATAACCTTTGGAAAAGAACAGAGCTTGCTGGTAACATTTATGTTCAGCTCTGATCAGGGTACTATCACATGATTTCTCCATATGTGTCTTATGCATCTGGCCTCAGCCAGTTACTGGGTTTGCTTAGTCCAAAAATGTTACTAGATTAATGAACAAAGCTTAGGAGCTTAGCTCCATGGATGAGGAAGTAAAGATAACTGAATACCTCGGTGAAGATATTAATTCCATTTTCTAACCTATTACATGCCCACTAGATTCCTGTATACCTGCTTGTTTACTCCATCATTCTAAATACCAGTTAGGTGCCCGGATGCATTTTCAACAAAACCTAGATGACTCATACCAGTGGAAGCCTCATGACTGTGCCTCACTATTCAATTAAAATGATGTAACTCATCTCTTCTGGTGGTCACTAAGCTGAAATCCATCCCTTGGTCTGAATCTCATAGCTAAGAAAAATGGCAACTTGACTTTGTATCCCTGTTTCTTGCTCTTGGCCGGGCTATAGCAGTTTTCACTGATCACTGTTTCACCATCCTGACTGGACCTTTGCTCTTTCTGTGTGATCTTGCAGTCACTTCCTTTTCTGATCTCAGTTTCCACACCTATACAATGATACAGTTAGTCCAAGTTACCTTTATAGACCCTTCAACTGTTAACAATAAAAGCTATCATAAATTGAAAGCTGTGTGCCATGCTATATCCTTTATTACCAATCTTTCAGTTTTTTTTAACTGCACAACACTTTTATTTTCATCAGAATTATATACATGAGAACAGTTTAAAGGAAAAATAGGCTACAGGAGTTATTACAAAAAGGAGAGGAACAGACGCCCTCTATCCCCTGTCATTTATTTCTCACCAAAGGCAGTCACTTTTAATTTAGCTGATTCTTTTATTTACTTTCATATATGTAAATAGAATGCTTATATTGCTTTTTTTTAACTTGAGGTATTTTTGTACCAACACACTTTAACTCTTCCTTTTCTTTTTTTGGCAACCCAGGATTTAACACTTCTTAATCTCTTTGCCTGTTACCCACCCACACATACTTCCCTCTCTTAATAAGATGATATTATAATTATGATTAGATTGAAATTCAATAGTGTGTTATTGTAACTTGTTATATGCTAGTCTCAACTGAGCCATGTAGAGTACTATGATTACTTTTCCTTGTTGTACAAAACTTTGTTTTAGATTAAATCTTGACCTTTTTTGTTATGTGTTTATTTTGCTATGTACTTTTACTAGCTCAGCCTTATAGTCTGTCACTGCTTTATACATCTTTCTTCTTTATGTTCAAGCATGTTCATCTCTATTTTGTGTTATCCCAGTTTGCTCCTTTATTTTACCATGTAATCTTCCATAGATTTTTATCTTCAGTTTTGTGTGAAACCTGTTTATTCTCTTTGAAGCTTCTCTTCATCCCCATTATTCTGAAATTTCACCTAGGATGTGAGTATTTTTACTCACCATGTGGACATATAGTGTGCCCATTCCATCATTTGGTTTCTTGAAACTTTCTTAAATGCATCAATGATTTTCCCTCACTTTTTCTCTACTTACTCTTCCTGGCATATGTTCAGATGTTGAACCTCCTGAAGTCATCCGTTGTATTCTTGACCCTCTTTCTTCTTATTCCTATTCTCTTTGTCTTTTTGTTCAACTTTCTTCAAACTTTCCACAGCTTTATCTTCTAAACTCTTTATTGAGTTTCTTATTCCTGGCAATTTTTTTTGTTAAAGTATTATTTCTGTAGTGGCGTTTACCAAAGGGTATTTTGTGGAAAACTAGTCCTGCAAAATGCTCTGCATAAAGGGACTTTACATACATTTAGGAATTTGGTCGCATATGTTTAGAAAATGCCTATACTCTCCTTACCCACTCGTGGTATTTGCATATGCTATGAAGAACTCTTTTGTTTTGTGGATTTTTTACTATTTTTTTTTTTTTTTAGATTCACAGCAAATTTGAGCAGGAGGTATAGGATATATTTCCCATATACTCCTTACCTCACACACACTGTTTCACCTTCTCCATTATCAACGTCCCCCACCAGAGTAGTACATTTGTTTCAGTGATGAGCATCATTACCACCCAAGGTCCATAGTTTACATTAGAGATCTTAGTTGGTGTTGTACTTTGTATGGATTTTGACAAATATATAATGACATGTATCCACCATTATAGAATCTTAGAAAATAATTTAACTGCTCTAAAAATCCTTTGCCTCTGCCTAGTCATTCTTACCTCCCCACTCACCTCTGACAGCCACTGACCTTTTTACTGTCTCAGTAATTTTACCTTTTCCAGAATGTCATAAAATTAAATCATTCAATATACATAGCCTTTTCAGATTGGTATTTTCATTTAATGATATATATTTAAATTTCCTCTGTGTCTTTTCATGGCTTGATAGCTCACTTATCAAGTGCAGAATAACATACCATTGTCTGGCTATACCAGCAGTTTTATAGTTTGAATTTTACATTTAGGTTTGTATTTATTTTGAGTTAATTTTTGTGAAGGGTATAAAATCTGTGTCTAGGTTCTCTTTTGTGTGTGTGTCTATCCAGTTGTCTCAGTACTATTTGTTTAAAAAAAACTTGAAAAAACATATCTTTGTTCCATTGTACTACATTTCCTCCTTTGTCAGAGATCAGTTCACTATATTTGTGTTGGACTATTTTTGGGCCCTGTTCCATTGATTTGTCTGTTCTTTCACCAACACCAAAGCAAAATAATGCCCAGTTGTGGATGTGACTGGTGATGGAAGTAAAGTCCGATGCTGTAAAGAACATTATTGCATGGGAACCTGGAATGTTAGGTCCATGAACCAAGGTAAATTGGAAGTGGTGAAACAGGAGATGGCAAGTGTTAACATCGACATTTTAGGAATCGGCAAACTAAAATGGATGGGAATGGGCAAATTTAATTCAGATGACTGTTAAATCTAAATTTGTGGGCAAGAATCCCCTAGAAGAAATGGAGTAGCCATCATAGTCAACAGAAGAGTCCGAAATGCAGTACTTGAGTGCGGTCTCAAAAACAACAGAATGATCTGTTAGTTTCCAAGGCAAACCATTCAATACCACAGAAATCCAAGTCTATGCCCCAACCACTAATGCTGATGAAGCTGAAGTTGACTGGTTCTATGATGACCTACAAGACCTTCTAGACCTAACACCAAAAAAAGATGTCCTTTTCATCCTAGGGGACTGGAATGCAAAAGTAGGAAGTCAAGAGATACCTGGAGTAACAGGCAAGTTTGGCCTTGGACTACAAAATGAAACAGGGCAAAGGCTAACAGAGTTTTGCCAAGAGAACGCAATGTTTATAGCAAACACCCTCTTCCAGCAATATAAGAGAAGACTCTACACATGGACATCACAAGATGGTCAATACTGAAATCAGATTGATTATATTCTTTGCAGCCAAAGATGAAGAAGCTCTATACCGTCAACAAAAACAAGACTGGGAGCTGACTGTGGCTCAGATCATGAACTCCTTATTGCCAAATTCAAACTTAAATTGAAGAAAGTAGGGAAAAGTAGACCATTCACTAGACCACTAAACCAAATCCCTTATGATTATACAGTGGAAGTGACAAATAGATTCAGTCTATTAGACTGAATAGATTAGATCTGATAGAGTACCTGAAGAACTGTGGATGGAGGTTCATAACATTCTTCAGGAGTCTGTGATCAAAACCATCCCCAAGAAAAAGAAATGCAAAAAGGCAAAATGGTTGTCTGAGGAGGGCTTACAAATAGCTGAGAAAAGAAGAGAAGCAACAGGCAAAAAAGAAAAGGGAAGAAATAGCCATCCGAATGCATAGTTCCAAAGAATAGCAGGGAGAGATAAGAAAGCCTTCCGAAGTGATCAATGCAAAGAAATGGAGGAAACTAATAGAATGAGTAAGACTAGAGATCTCTTTAAGAAAATTAGGGATACCAAGGGAACATTTCATGCAAAGATGGGC